GGGCCGAGCGACTCACCGTGCCCGCGGCGCCCGCGGCGCCCGCAGCAGCAGGAGGGCCTCTCCGCAGCTCGCCCTGGCGCGTCTGTCAGAAGGAGGCGGGTAGGCTCTGGAGCGCGGCCGAGAACTGTGGCGTCACGGCGGGGGCGGGGCCGGGGCCACGTGACCCGCAGGTGACGTCAGGGCCGAGGCTCGGACCGGCCAGTGGGGAGACCGGATGGCTCCGCTCCGGCCCCCCCCAGCGCCAGGCGCGCGCCTGGTCACTCAGCCGCCGTCACGCCGCCGGCGTGCTGACTGCCTGCGACTGCCTGGCGGGGAGGCGGTAGTCACCCCGTGCAGCTCCCTGCCGAGGTTGCGCGCTGCCCCTCACTCCAGCGCCCATGCTGTGAAACAGTGAGTCGGGCCTCCCTGGTGGCGCCCCGGGATAGGACGCAACACTGCAAGCGAATCGCTTCAGTTCGATCCCCCGCCCTGGAGGTGACCCACAGGGCGCGGCAGAACTCTTCTGACCCGCCCACTGCTCCCCTCAGCAGTGTACTTTGTCAGTTCGCCTGTTCTGCTCCCCATTCTGTCTCTGGTGAAGCCTCTCACCGTCCTTGCACCTCTGGCTTGCACCCCAGTTCTGTATGCATACATAAATAAAAATCTTAAAAAAAAAATAAAACAGTATATCCCAGTGAGAATGGCACATCTTAAAACAACTAACAACAAATGTTGCGAGGATGTGGAGATAAAAGGAATTCTCCTGCACTGCTGGTGGGAATGCAAACTGGTACAACCACTATGGAAAACTGTTTGGAGGTTCCTCAAGCTGCTAAACATGGAGCTTCCATAGGACCCAGCAATCTTATTCCTAGGGATCTACACAAAAATATCGATTCAAAAAGATTACCTGCACTCCCATGTTTATTGCTGCTTTATTCACAATTGGAAAGACATGGAAGCAGCCCAAATGCCCAAAAGTAGATGACTGGATTAGAAAGATGTGGTGCATATACACAATGGAATATTATTCATCAACCAAAAAAAAAGAAACACATGTCCTTTGCAGCAACATGGGTGGAGCTGGAAAAGGTCATGTTTAGTGAGATAAGCCCGAAAGAGAAAGAAAAATACCGGATGGTTTCATTTATAGCAGGAGTATAATGGACCAGGCGAGAAAATAACAAGAATAATGAACAACCATAGACCAGAGACATTTTATGTGGGTGGGGTGAGGAATGGGATCAAAATCAGGGCAGAGTGCACAGGAGTATGGTGACGGCACACGGGTGATTTGGTGATGGGAAGCCCACAGGGATGACACCTGAGATGGAAAAAGGCACAGAATGATGTAAAAATTAAACAATTATATTAATTTGTAAAAAACTGTGTATCCTGCATGCATATGTCTAGTGCATGTTTTAGTTTTGCATTTTTTGGCGCTTATTGTTGATTTCGCTGGCTGTCCTGTCCCCCACCAGGGCACTGAAGTGCTGTGTTCCCCGGAGGCCCAGAAGGCTGCGATGTGCCTCACAGAGAACGTGCCCCTTGGACAAACCGCCACGGCTGAATTACAGTGCTGTTGGCCTTGAACTCACTGATGCACCAGTGGTATTAAATTGGGTGCCTTTAAGTAGCAACAGCCAGCATGGTCACGTGTGGTCAGTGCCTGGCTGGGACCTGACCCAGAGTTACCCAAGCGCAGTGGTTCCACATTTGCCAGTTTGGCGTTTGCAGGGGGGATTCAGAGAGGGTAACTGCCAGCTGTTGTGATGCAATTGACACTTGAAAGAATCATCCAGCAATGAAGAAGCTGGGAGACAGCCCATATGCAACTGAATTTTCCCCTACTAACCATTTGCCTCAAGCCTGGAGACCGGGAGCCAGACCCCGTGGGCTCGTGATTCTTATCCAGACGAGAAATTAAATTAACTTCAAGAGTGGAGTTAGAAGAATAAGAAGATGGAAAGGAAAACTGAACAGAGAGGGGTCCTGCCTGTGTGGCTGCTGAAGGGGCAGAAGCAGGAGTCTCCGTGGCTGTGGAGGGTCTGGGAGCCGGAGTCTCCTGCGGGCCCGCTGGGTCTCCCAGCTTGCGTGGTTTGTTTTCCAGGAAGGAGAGCTGGCGTTGCTGGGCACTGTGTGGGTTTCCTGAGCGTTTAGTTTTTACCGTATTGGGGCACCGTGACTCCAAGCAACTGTTCCTCATTTGATTTGATAAGTGGGCTTGGGGCCCCCTGACCCCAACTGCCTGCCTGCCCAGCCTAACTTCCTCTTCACAATGTTAAAAATAAATACAGGGCCTCCCTGGTGGCACAATGGGTTAAAGCGCAGCACTGCAAAGCTGGCTGCGTCCCCGACCAGGGAGTGACCCCCAGGCACAGCAGACCCCTCCTGTCTCCCGGCTGCCCCCTCCGCAGTGGACTTACTTAGTCTGCCTGTTCTGCTGCCCCAGTCTGTGTCTGGTGAATCCTCTTGCCTGTTCCTCAGTTCTGTGTGCATAAATAAATCTTTTTTAAAAAATAGGGCTCTCCCTGGTGGCACAGCAGGTTAAAGCACAGCACTAAGAAGCTAAAACCACTTCCGCATGAGTTCGATTCCCGCCTGCCCCAGAGGTGACCCACAGGGC